ATTAATATTATGTATTCTAAAATTAAAAATCATATAAATTTTTAATTTTTAGTAGTTCAAAAATAACTCAAACTCGTAAACTCTACTTATACTTCATCATCTGCCTATATATAATTTTGTGGGTTTAAAATTTTCATAGAAGACTTCTTAATTTTTTAGGCTACTTGAACAATTGATATGAGTTATGATAAGGACAGATCATGTTTAATAAATTTTACCATTTTTTTTCGAGTGTTAAGATAGTAATGTAACTCATGATAAAAATATTAATAGTACTATAGGTTTATAATTAATAATGTTATTATTGCTTTCACCAATAGTACTATAGGTTTATAATTAATAATTTAATAGTGTTATTATTGGTTTCATCCCTATTTTTACTAGAATTTGGTCTCCTAACTCTCTCTCTCTCTCTCTCTGAAGACATGGACTCGTGATTTATTGGTGTTTTACATTATACATAATATTTTATTTTGGCTGTTTTTTTAATTTATAATAATAAACCTAAATTTAATAAACTTAAAAAACTTTTTAATATAAAAAAAATCTAATGAAAATGAACTCAGCTTATTTTAATATATTTTTATTTAAAAAATAACAATAATTACACTTTTATATTAACTCTAAAATTTTTTCAGTTACATTTTTTTAAGTTGCTATTACAGTATGTTATTTAAGTCATCATATATATATATCAAATAAAAAGATTAATTTACATCTAAGAAATAAATGACTATATCTAAAACCATAGAGTAAAATATCTTTCAATTGAATTTTATACTGAAATTCTAACATTAATGCTTTTTTTTTTTTTATATCCATGTATTGTAAATGTGCTATCAAACAAATGAATAATACTCATCTAAAGTGGTCCACGAAAGAAAGAAAAAAGTAATAAAAATATTTGGTCTTCTGGTAGGCATTAAAACATAGGAGTTTTAGTGAAAGTTGGCAGGCATATGTGAATTTAACCCTAATGGCAAGAACGCAATAAATTCAATTCAAATTTTGTTTTCATTTTTTTAAAAATATTTGGTCTTCTGGTAGGCATTGAAATATAGGAGTTTCAGTGAAAGTTGGCAAACATTTGTGAATTTAACCCTCATGGCAAGAACGCAATAAATTAAATTAATTTTTTTTTTCATTTTTTATCGGTTACTTCTTGGGGTGATTTTTTGTTTATTGAATTTTATAGTTTAAATATTTTAAAAATTATAATTTATATTTTAAATTTTATCAATCGAAATTATTATATAATTTAGCCCATGTAATTTCTTAAAATATAAAAAATAAATGTGAAAGTAAAAATATATAAGTAGTAAATATACAAACGACTAAATTATAAAATAAATAACACTAAAAAAAAACGTTATGAATTTTTTAAACTAGGGAGAATCCAGCGTGGCGTTACGTTATTAAGAATTTAAGAAATAAAATAATAAAGAACCTCAAGTAAGTAATATTGAGAATTTTTCAGGTACTAAATGCAAAAAAATAAACTAAAAAATAAAAATAAATGCTAACACCATAAGAGACTTATTTTCCAGTAATTAATTACTTTTAACTAATAAATCAGACATCTAGCGCTGGAGAAAATAGGGGAGTCTTGTCTGATTTTCAAAAGCAATGCAGTCAACCCTCATGTCCCATCCCATCTGCTTTTACCTTTACCTTTATCAGTAAATTTGATAATCAATTATTATTATTTTCTTCTTCTTTTCTTTATTGACTCTTCTCTCTTTCCTCACTGGACTTGCAAGAAGGGACAGCAGTTTCTGTGCTGACTCCAGCTTTCATTTCTGTCAGTTCCAGGACAAGAACAAAAAGGGAACAAATGTATGGGTCTCTGACACACACTGCTTCACCACCGCTGCATACCCAGTAAATTTTGTTCAATTTCTGACCCTTAAAATAAAACAAATGGCAGTTTTGTTGTGGCATTCCCTTGTCAACAGATGCTATGGTTCATGAATGGATAACCTCTAAAGTCAGGTAAAGTGGGTCTATTTGTTTTTCAGTTTTCTATCATGGGTTTGCTTTGTTCTTGCAATGTGCCTCCGATTCCCAACTTTCTCTGACGGGTTTGCATTATTTTCGTGGAGTTCTGAGAAGTGTTTGTTTGCTTTTCTTTCGCGGATTGTGAGTTCTTGTTTTGTTTGTTTTGTTTTTCTTTAGTAAGGAAAGTTAGTTTCTTTGATTCATAATTCTTCACAATGATTTTGATTTCTTGGATTTCCGTTTTATTCCTTTAATGAGTCTGGTGTGTTCTTTCGAGTTCTGAATTTCGAGATTTGTTTTGTAGTATTCACGGTCAATGTTTTCTTCTTTTGTTAACAGTGGTGGTTGTGTACCTGGCTTTTCCTTTTTGAGTTTGTTGGCCTGATCTGTCTCCTTGAAAGAGCCATTTTCTTTGAGAATTATGTGCAGCAGATCGACTTAGTTGATTTTTCATTACTGCAATCTTTTTGTTGGGAAACATCCTATTGTCCTTTCTTTTTGTCACAATTCTGGAATGATAAATGTCTACTACTCTATGAGTGATTTTTTACTTGTGTCATTGCTAATGAATCGCAGCACTTTAGGTTTACTCATACGATCTGGGATCCTCTGGTGTAGGGAATCTATTGTTCATATCTGACTCGCAGGTTAATGCAATAAGTTAGGATGAAGAACCAAATAAAATTGTATTGATCAATGCAGTCATCCAATGCTCGTGTATCCTGATTAGTCAAGTTCTGTCTATCTAAATAGATACTCATTTCCGACCCTAATTTTGTCTGAGAGAGGATATAGCCAATTAGTTATTTATGGGTAAATTACAGCACTTTTCTTTTCCGCTCTGTCAATACCATGAGGTTTCATCATTCACACCCTATGCAAAAGGTTAATTGCACTGTGTTTGGTTACTGTATTCTTTTCAGTTCTTTCCATCTTTTCCTTAATATGGAATGGTTAATGTCTGAGTGCACATTTGCAGATCAGAAATAGGTAGACTTGTTCCTGGTTTCATCCTTAAAACATGATTTCACGACCAAAGAATGGGTGGCACTCTCTTATGCCCCTTTGTTTCAGGGGCAAAGCAGTCACAGGATTTTGCATCTTCCCAGAAGTTAAATCATCAGGTTATAGCCCAGGAAACACGCCTGTCTACCTGAATGTGTATGACTTGACAGACATTAATGGCTATGCCTACTGGGCAGGCTTTGGTATCTATCACTCTGGGGTGGAAGGTTAGCAGGACTTGCTACACATTGCTGCTGATTGCCTTCTCTTCGAATAGATCACATATTTAATAAAATGCAATCATTGGTGTCTTTATGCATGCTTACAGTCTATGGTGTGGAATATGCCTTCGGAGCCCATGACTACCCATCAAGCGGTGTCTTTGAGGTTGAACCCCGACAGTGCCCTGGTTTCAAGTTTAGGAAATCAATATTCATGGGGACAACGATCTTAGATCCCAAACAAGTCAGAGAGTTCATGGAGCTCCAATCTGCAAATTACAATGGTGATACATATCATTTGATTGTTAAGAACTGCAACCACTTCTGTGAGGATACATGTTACAAATTGACTGGGAACCGAATACCGAAATGGGTGAATCGACTAGCAAGAATAGGTATTGGATGAGTAACTTTCCTTTATGATACCCCTTGTGCCATTTTTTGCATCAGGTTTAAATACTTCTCATCAGTTGATTGTTGTTGATAATTGAACCCACCCAAACACTTATGCTGCATTTTTATCATTTTATGGACGTTGCCTTCTCATCTCCTTGTCATATCTTCAGTATTACATGAAGGTAATCTCTTGTAGCTTTTGACAGCAACAAGAAACAAAAGTTCAATCATATTTATCAGAGATTATTTACGCGAGCTGGGTGTTAATACACCTTGCTTCTTCCCTCGTGACTGTTTCTCCTTATAATCTATTGTATACATTGAACCTATTTTCACTCGTTAACTTCTTTCTCTAGGTTCACTCTGCAATTGTATACTCCCAGAGGCCCTTAAAGCCACTAAAGTACAACATGACCCTAATTATCAAGAACGTGAAAGCGAAAAGAAGAGGCTAAGAAGTTCCTTCAGCTGCTTTTCATCAATATCAATGCCCCAAAGGGAAGTGTCCATGTCTTCATTGTTTCTACACTCTCACTACAAAGGCTGCCTACCACCATGGGAGCTGAAGAGGTCCAGAAGGGGTTCGATTAAGGAAGGATAAAAGTAAGTCTATTCCATAGAAAGATATCCAGTTGTGGCTTTGCAATTTTGGGCATTTGGGGATACCAACATCTTTCTATTACCCACAACTCTCGTGGAAAGTAAATACGTGCTAGTTTGTTGTTTTTGAATGCTACAATAGATGACTTTACACCTCTTATTGTGTTTCTGCGGGGGCTGCCTCCCAGGAGTTTTCTCGTTCTCTTCTAAGATTGTATTCCGATGTTATGCAAAGCCTGTCTGCATTGGCGGAGATTAACTGATGTGGATTTTTCAGTTGTCCACGGATTACATTGAGCTCGTCATTTTCAGGCTCTTGCTGACTTTGGCCACATGTGCTATTTTTGCGGCTAAAAGTTTCCTCTTGTAATCTCGTTTGGTGCTGATTGCCCTTAAATTTCATTCTCATTATTTTACAACTTAAGTTGCTCTCTGTTCCACCGAGAAAAATCCCTACTATAAAGTAGAAAGACTCGAAACTAGCAAGGTTTCCAGAGATATTAATAATTAATAAAATAAGTTAAAAATGAACCAAACTTATGACTCCATACTCCATACTCCATAGCCTAGCCTACAGGTCTACGGGGCCTGTAACCTAACCAATTAAAATGGGACACTTAACTGAAAAACCAAGTAATTCAAGTAGACCAAACAGAACTGAACATGGAGTCTAACCCGTGTCAAAGAAAGGCGAAAGGTTATCTCAAGACATCCTAAAGTAAACCATGCGTTAAGGACAGAGGAATGAGAAAATTGAAAGAAAATGAAAGAATGGTGGAGCGAGGCAAGAGGGAATAAACCTGTGCTCTTTGTTGTTACTTTCAGAACCCTACGACAACGTTTCAAGAAGCACATATTATATGGACAGAAATGAAAATGCCAGCAAGATCAGCCAAGAAAAGAATAAAGTCAAAGACCAAGACCCAGACATACAAATTCTTCATCTTTGTTGTTTATATTCCTGTTTATGCTGTACATTAATCAGGGCGATACAAAAAGTTAATCTTTCCCTTAACTTTATCAACTATCCAATCTTTTGACCAGTTTAAGATTTCAAGAAACACACAAAGAAATCAAGAATTCTAATTCTTGATCAGAAATTCAGGTTCTTTATTGAATTTTATGATATGGGTAAAGGTGGTGGGTGTGTACCAAGCAAGAGAAGACTACCTATAGAGGTACCTGATCAAGAACCTTCCCTCCAAGAAACAAGCTCTGCTATTTCCTCACAAAACCAAATCACATCCACAAACACAACAATCCCAGTTCAATATAATCCCACACTAGCAGTTAAAAAGTGCAAGATTTTTATTATTTTTTACTCAATGTATGCTCATGTGGAGTTAATGGCAAGAAGAATAAAGAAAGGCGTGGATTCCATTGATGGGGTTGAAGGGGTTTTGTATAGGGTCCCAGAGACCTTGCCACAGGGTACTTTAGAGCAAATGAAGGTACCCCAGAAAGGAAATGATGTGCCTTTGATAAATGTTGATGAGTTGGTGAATGCTGATGGCTTCTTGTTTGGATTTCCTACAAGATTTGGGTCCATGGCAGCTCAAATGAAGGCTTTTTTTGACTCGACTCATAAGTTATGGATGAAGCAGAAGCTTGCTGGTGTGCCTGCTGGGTTCTTTGTGAGCACCGGCACACAGGGTGGTGGGCAGGAGACCACTGCGTAAGTAAATGCTTGATTTGATTGTGTTATCTTGGGAAATGTTTGATTTTTTGGTTATTTAATGAGACATAATGGCTTTTGTTTTGCTATAATTTGATGCGATCAAGTTGGTGTATTAGTTTGGAAAGATTACAATCAATATTCTTTACAAAACGTTCATTATGGTGTGGAGAAATGGGATATATTTAGGAGTGGACAAGGTTTTTAAGGATAGCACATTAGACATGAATCTTATATATATAAACAAGAAAATATGGGATTTTATTGAGTATGGCCTCCAAATACTTGTGATGGTATAGGGTCATGAACATATGCACGGGTCAGTAAATTGATCCTGAAATTACTATCTGCAAATTATCAGAAAGAAGTTATTTGGAATCAGGGGACTTTCAATTCCAGGAACTGACTGGGAAAGTATTGCTAATAGCTCAAAGAAAGTTGTATGGTAGAAGTGATTTTGAGAAAAAAGAAAAGAAAGGAGTGTTTGTAGGAAGATTTACTCTCGCAGGCCTTGAAATATTCAAGATAATTCAGTAGTGATTTTATGAGAAATTTTGGTGATGCAGCTTATATTTGGACTTTATTCCCTAATTGACTAGTGATTTTCAATAAATTCTTTATTGACTTATAGCTCGTTTGGTGGGGAGACGGATAGTGAAAGTTTGATTAGCTTTCCCAAACATCATTCTGTCAAATATTTTTATACCGACAATGAAGGGATTTCTCATAGGTCTTAGATTGTTAGCTTGCCAAGTATAGCAGTTACCAGGTGCCACAAGAATGTCTTGCTAAGGAACTGCATTTGCATTTATAGGTGCTTAGGAAGTACCCTTGATCCAATTCCATAAAAATGTCTTCCTGATGACTAGATATCAGGTCCCTAATTGGGATTTTGCACTTCCCAGTTTCCTACTTCACTTTCAAATTGCATTAAAAAAGGACATGCAGTCAGAACAAATAGGATGCACTTATTTTAGGGAAACTTACCTCTTTTTGCAGTGTGAAAATTTATAATTCTCATCAAATTTATTTCTTTTGTTCATTTTGCAGCTGGACAGCAATCACTCAGTTAGTCCATCACGGGATGGTCTTTGTCCCTATCGGTTACACCTTTGGAGCTGGAATGTTCAGAATGGATTCCATTAGAGGAGGATCTCCGTATGGTGCTGGAGTCCTTTCTGGAGATGGCACAAGAGAGCCAAGTGCAACAGAACTAGCTCTTGCGGAGCACCAGGGAAAATACATGGCTACAGTAGTTAAAAGATTTGCAAGGCCCTTTTCACTGGCGCCTGGTGAAAAACACAACTAGTGCTGCTAAAACCAACATTCATTTTGCATCTCTATTGTCCACCTTTTTTTATAGGTTGATCTCGTGCATGCTCTCTCTTGTGTTTGAATAGGTAACACGTGTGCATAGATTTTAGACAGCTTAGGACTTAAGAGCTTATTCTGTAGTATTTTAACATTACTCCGTGCCCATTCTTCACTGGTTCCCAGCTTCTGGCTCCCCTTTTCTTCGGAGTGTTGGATCCTTCTACATGATTTGGAGTTTCCATTTGATTGTATCGTTTTTTCTTCAGATGAACCATTTGATTGTCCACCCAAATTGATCGTTGATCAATAAAAATTGTGAGGTTGTGTTTCTTAGCCCGCCTTTTGCTTATGACTTGCCTGTGTTTTCTATCTTAAGCATTTTGCTGAGTCTTGCAATGTGAACGACTTGCTATTTACCCTATATATGAACCGTTGATGAAATTTGATTCCCTAAATCATTAGCCACCCTGAGCAGATAGAAAGAGTAGTTTTAAATGAGTCACCACCACTGGGCTGCGTTCTAATAAAATAGTAGAATTTTGAACAGTTTTGTGTCCTGATCAAAACTCTGCTCTGTTTTTTTTTTACACGAAATCGACAAGGGTTCCTTGTATCTTAATTCAAAATGCAGAAGTCTAAAGAGAGCTCCTAGTAGTAAGATCAGCAGCACTGCTTTGTTTATTGACACTGCCATGTATTTAAAGCAAGAACTCAAATTGTTGCAGCTGTGCTATTTCAGATATACATGACTAGTCTATGAAGATCAATGCTGCAGGATCGATTCAAATCATGGATGAGGGTAGTAAAACCCCAGGGAGTATCACAGACACGTCACAACGATATTGCAATATTTTGAGAACTAGGATCAACACCCATCAGGAGAGATATATGACCAAAGTTACAATCTCCTGAACCTTCATGCACTGAAGTTGACACTTTCCATCGACAGGCAGCAACTAGATACAGCGATTGAGGGAGGGAGGAAGGCTTGTCCCACATACCCACCAGCCATTGACTTTCTCACATTGGATTCAAATAATTTGGGGTTATCTCTTAAGACAGCCGCAGCATCTTGATTGAGGGGATCCTCATGGCTGGGTTCCTGCACACAAAAGCACTAGCATCAACTAAATTGGAACTGGGTACGATATGTGCCAGATGATGTTCAAGGGCAGTTTTACATGATAAGCCCATATTTTTTGAGAAAATTGTCAACGGATAAGAAAGTATGTTATTTGATTATGATGAATATGCATGTATTCTGGTTTAATCCATTTTTTAAGTTTTCAGTTCATAACTATATGCGTTGAAGGGACTCTATTCCACACCTTTCAAGGTTCTAGATGTTTGCGGGGTTTTCCAGTTCAAGACGAGTACCAAAGACTTGGTTATACAAGCTTATCCCCATCAAAGCAGCTAACTAATTTTCTTCTCTTCATGGTCAGCATTTTTTATGACACCTTTTGTTTGGAACCCCTTCTTAACCATTATTGTGTACTTTTCAACTTAATTCACTTGGAAATTCAGAGGGAAAAGAATAATTCTAATGCTTTTAGGAAGGTGCAAAATCCACCTACAAAGATTTAACTGAGCAAACATTGAAGATTTTTGGATGGTGCCAAAAGTTCATTTGATAATTTATAAGTGTCCAAAATAATTATTAGTTTTTGAAGCCAACGTTTTGAATTACATATCCTTAAAATGGGAATTTCCAATGGATTAGACCGCAGGCTTCTGCAGTGACCTGTCACGCCTGTCTACATAATCTTCTGTTTCTGTTCTTGTGAAACCTGCATTTCCTTTTTGATCTCTGCTGTATTTTTTGCCTTTCGTTGCCTGATAGGTGGTTTCTTGGGATCTTGTTAACTTACAATTAGTTGGACAAACACTGTAACATGTGCTCCGTACATCTTTTTCATATGTTGCCTATGCTACTAGATGAAGTTACAGTCGAACAGGGGAAAATAAATGGCAAAATAGCTTGAATCTAGCCAACTTTAATCAAATTGATCAACAAACATGCTAAGCTCAGCAATACTGACAGTACTATAATTTGTTGAGACTTGAATAGGTATGGTGTCTTTTTTTGCCATAGCTGCTAATGTTAATCCGTGGGTTTTTGAAAATTGAATTGCAGATTCAAAAGTCCGGCCCTATAGACAATGGATATTAGAGATTTATACCAGCAGCTTACTCCTCCTATGGTGCTGCGTTTTCTATGGCTTTGCTCCTCTCTAAACCACTCTTCACTGTTTTCATTTTTTAAATCCTTCCATCAAAGTCATTTATCTATTACATCATTGGATGTCAGGTTACAGAATCATTCAGGTCGTCTGCCATTACTCATCTTTCTAGAATCTGAAATATTAGTCTCTGAAGTTCTCGGTAACCATTCAGCTGTATTCTTGAATCACCTATAGCTCCTTGGCTCGGCAATGGACAAGTTGATAAGAGCTTTTAGGTATGCACACTTGGCTTGGTTTAGCTTGAACTGGGCCAAAGACGGACTTTATTAGATAATTCTTATTCAAACTTGTTTATTGGTTTGACCAATAATAGCTCTTTATCAAACCTATTTAAGCATGTTCTTAGTAGAATCAACACTTTTCTCCACGCAAAGATCTGTTGTCGTTGTGCCGCTGTTCTGGGAGCAATAAAATAGTAGAATTTAGAACAGTTTCGTGCCCTAATCACGTTAGATACTTGTGGTTTGAACAAGTTGAACGAAGTCAATGAACTAGTTTACAAGCCTAACTTTTTGAGTTTTTAGTATATAGGCTATTTGCTTATTAGACTCGTTCTCTTCTTGTCTTGAGAATGTTATATGGCTATGGCTATGTGGGGATTGGAGTATCTTATCGACGGGTTATATGGCCATCTGGGGATTGGAGTGTCTTATTGACGGGTTTTTCACCTAGAAATAATAACCCGTGGTTGTAGATTACTGAAACCTGCTTTTGTCAACTGTACAGCTATGCTAAATCCTGGCCCGAACCAAAAGAAACATTAGTTGTGTTTTTCGGGGTCGCTGCCTGAATTACTTCTTAGGTTTGTTGTTTTCCACGTCCAGGTATATCAATCAGAGAATCGCTGTTTATGCCCGCGTACCGAACAGGGGCTTCTTTTTCTTGTGTGGAAGGTTATATGGGAACTTTGTGGTTACAGTTAACAGTCCTTTTTTAATAAAATTTATGCTATGCATATAGCAGCTTTCTTTATTTTTATCATAGTTTTTAGACCTCGGTTTGATCCAAGATTCAGATTTTGAGTTTTAATTAGATTATCTAGATTAATTTTTTTAAATTAAAACAATTTTTTTAATAAAAAAAATAAAAGGCAATGAATTGTAACTGAATTACTGAGTTAACATGCCAGGTTTTTTTTTTTTTTAGTTTTTCTTCAACCTGACTTAATTATAGTCCCAGGTTTGTCTATTAATTCGAACCAGTTTTTAAAACTATGATTTTCACCATGAACCGCAATTAGCTGCAACATATTCGATGTTGAATAAACTTAATACAGGTCTTTCTAAAAATAATAGAGTTTATGTAGATTACCTCGCTACTATTATTCTTCTCCAAAGTGAGGCAATATATAGGTACAATTACTCCTAAACATTAGGAGACAAAATAGGAAAATAAAAAAAGGATTATATTTGTATATATACCAGATTGATCAACTAACTGTATCTCTAATATTAATTAGAGAATCAATCTAATATTTAATAAAACTCACTGTGCATATTCCCCTTCAAGTTGGTGTATAGATATTTATTATGCCCAACATATCAATTATACTATGAAATATTTTTTCTGAAATTACCTTTGTACCTTTGTGAGCAAATCAGCTAGTTAACTTTTAAATTATATAAATAAAAATTGTATGATTTTTTCATCAAGATTCTCCTTGATGAAATGAAGAACAATCTTAACATATCTAGTGTAATCATATTGAACAGGATTTTATTGTGTGATTTTTATAGTTATCTTATTATAATAGTAGAGATTTATAGGTTTAGTATATTCAATACCTAAATCCCTCCGTGTATTCCTTATACATATCAATTCATATACATCATGAGTCATCACTTGAGATTCAGTTTGGAGACTTGATCTTGTTACTATTTTTTGTTTCTTGCTTTTTCAAATGACAAGATTACCTTTAACGAATGTAAAGTAACTAGAAGTGGACTTTCTAGTCGTCTGATCACTTGCTCAGTCAGAATCTATATATTCTTTAATATTAAAGGTACTTGTTTTTAGAACAACAATACTTTTCCTAGAGCACCTTTTAAGTACCGTAAGATTCAATAGATTGCTTCCATATATTCTTTACTTGGTGCATGCATGAACTAACTTACCACGTTTATCGCATATGTTATATCAGGTCTTGTATAGGATAAGTAGATTAGCCTTCCAACTAATCACTAATAACAATCATTGTCTGTTGGATCCTGATATGGAAAAATTCCTAGCTTATGATTCATCTCTATGGGCATTTTTACTGGTTTGCAATTAAGCAATTGAGTTTCAGTTAGAAGATCTATTGTTGTATGAGAGATATTCCCTGTCTTGATCTTGCTACCTTAATCCTTAAAACATATTTAAGTTATTCAAGATCCTTTATTTCAAATTTAGTAACTAGATACTTATTTAAGGTTTTCATTTCATATGGATCATCTCTTGTCATGACTATATCATCCATATACACAATTAAAATGGTTATTCTTTCTTCATTATGTTTTATAAATAAAGTATGATCGAAGTTACTTTGTTTATAGCCAAACTCCTTCATTGCAGCAGAGAATCTCCTAAACCATTCTTTAGTTGACTATTTCAGTTTATACAATGACTTTTCAGTTTGCAGACTTTACCTTTACATGAACCACTATTAACCCAGGTGGTAGTTCTCACTCTTGATTTGCTGCTATAGATATAAGAATATGAATAGTATTAATCTTTATTACTGGTGCAAAAGTATCCTAATAGTTTACCTCATACCTTTATATAATTCATTTTGCAATCAATAGAGCTTTATACCTGTCAATACTACCATCTAGTTTGAGTTTCATAGTGAACACCCATTTGCATCCAATTGTCTTCATTCATTGCCTTTCTCCATCTTTGATTAGCCAATGCATCATGCATATTACTAGGAATAACAATTATGGAAAATTGATTAACATAAGTGCATATGACATAGTCAACCTATGAGAGGACGTATAATTGTTAATTGGATATTTGGTTTTGACTACAAGATCAGGTTCATATTGTTTTTTTTTGGAACTTCTTTATTCATTCTTTATGGATATCTAGGAGTTGAGTTTTCTGTAGGACAATATGTTTCATTAGACTTATTAATCATAGGACTTATATGAGGAGGAACATTCTTGGATGATTATTCGAGTAATGATGTAGACTGTCAACGAACCATCTTAACCCAATAGCTTAAGCCGTTACGTGAGGTCCCAAGATATGATTTATATTATTCTCTAATACACCCCCTCAAGTGAAAACTTTTCGGGTTTGAAACTTGCACAGACCCATATTACCTTGTACTTGATTTTTATCAAATAAATAGGGATGTGATTCGAACTCGTGACCACTTGGTTATCAAGGCTCTGATATCATGTCAAAGAACCATCTTAACCTAATAGCTTGAGCTATTAGGTGAGGTCCTAAGATATAATTTATATTATTCTCTAACATAGATGAGGGAAACTTTAATGGTGATTTAGTTATATCAAGAAAGGGTAGAGCCTCCTATGTTGATTCATTCTCGACATCATTGTTGTGATCAAAGCCTTGTTGATTTAATTGTTCACTCACTTTTGTTTCTAACTAGATAAACTCCTCATTTCCTCTATCCATTGAAGCCTCGTTCTCCTTACTTAAACTCTTCCTTTGAAGAGAATGGCTAGAGAATCCCCAAGAGTAATAAGGTATGATCTCATAAAAGGAGGCATCTAGCGTTACATGAAGCTTGCGAGTGTAGGGATTATAACACCTATATCCTTTTTGAAGATTAGAGTAACCAATAAATACATAATGTTTTCACATGAATCAAGTTTGTTATGTAAGGTTTTTAGGATGTGAAAAAACACGGTACAACAAAAAATCTAGAGTTCAAGGTTGGGAAAATGGGAAACTAGGAGTAAGGATTGCAGTTTTTGTAAGAGTGTTTGAAAATCCAGGACCCAAAAGGGTGTTTTATTGATGATATAAGCAGCAGATTTAACAATCTCAA